AGTTTATTTCAGGTAAGTATACAGATAACAGAGGGATCTTGAATGTACAACTCTCTTTTATAATCTGCTAGACATATAAATCCCCCCTCCCCCCAAAAGCACACAAAACTATATACTCTGGCACAAATAATTGCTTGAAAAAGAGAAAAAATAACAATTACTAGTCTTACATGAGGCAAAATAAATGTCCATAAAAATTTTAAGAAGCTTTTTGAAGCCAAAACATCCCATAAATGCCAATTTCTGCCAAAGAACTAGATTCATTTAATACAACGGTGCCTGGCTTTTAAAAATTCATTATTATTATTCTTTGACTATATAATTCATTAAAACGACTATTATAAAGTTTATTTGTCTGGCTATTTTTAATCTATGCAGTTTTAGTGTTGGGCTTAAAGCTAAGATTATTGTCAGTTTAAGGAATCTATTATGACAAGACAAGAGGATATGACAGCATGCTAGAAGAAATTAAATAAAACAGAGGAAGGACAAATTTCAAACCTCACTATCACACTGAAGAAAATCCCCTTTTCTAATCAACCTCCAATAAAGTCCTTGCTTATTTTACAATAATTGAAACTAGAGAACACTTTCAATCCACAATTATGATCACTTTTCATAAATTACTTATAAAATCAATAAAGAACTTCTAGGCATTTGAGTTTATATTATCTTTAAAATCAGTATATGCTTGCAAACAAAAAAAAATCAAAACTTCATGTTCATATAGCTATTTATTTAAAGACATGCTCTACTCTTATTTCACTAATGTTAAAGAAGGGCATGACTACAGACCTGGTTTATAAACCAGGACTATAGCCGATCTAAACATGTCTCAAAGTTCCCATCTTATTTACACAATGCTGGATCTGGAGTCAAAGAAACTAGATTTGAATCCTAGCTGCTTATTAGCTGTGTGACTCTGAGCAAATCACTTAACCTTTCTGTGTCTCAGTTTGTTCATTTTTAAAATGAAGGGATTAGATTACATGGTCTCAAAGGCCTCTTTCACCCTACAATACTATCATCATATCTCGAATGTCTACAGAGTTGACTCTACGATTGAGAGGGGGCCTGAAAATAATAAATCCTATCCCTAGAAGCACATGAGATAATCTCTGAGTTTCAGCAAAGCAAACCCACTATTTGATTATATCTGATGCTTGTATTTATGTGATGTAGTAGATGTGTTCAATAAATGATTGTTTTCTTGAGTAAATGAACATTAAATTTGATTGTTTACTAGGGTTGTCTTAGGATCACAGCATTTTAGATTTTGAGACAGAAGGAACGTTCGGGGTCATTTAGTACAAGCCCTCACTGTACAAATGTGACCCAAGATCATCTAGCTAGTAAGTAGAAGAAAGAAGATTCAAACATAGATCTTCTGCCTCCACTTTTAGCAGTTTTTCAATTGTGTCATGTTGCCCTCATCTTTAGCAACACAAATGGAATGGGGAAGAAAGATTTAAAATGATAAAAAATTGCTTAGTAGGAAGAAATTTTAAAGGGTAGTTCAAAGGAAAATATCTTAAAGCAATGTATCAACATGAGAATAAGCAGACAGAAAGTTTCGTAAACAAAGCAAGAAAAAACACACACCAGTACCTTACTTTCACGCAAAATGACCTACACTTCTCTGTGTAAATGCCCATATTTTGCTGATATGACTAGCCTTTTCAATGAATGTTAAATTATGTGTGCAAAACCTACAGATAATTACTGAAAACTCTGCTGGTCCATCTGTACACCAGAACTTCACAGAGACAATTATACTCACAAGACTGATTTATATTTAGTGACTGTAATTCCTATTACATAACTTTCTTTCAAAGACTTTGGCAATGCATTTAAACATTAACTTCATTCACAGAAGTATGAGGTCAATGAAAACACTCAGAGCATAATCATAAATGCAGGTGTTAACTCCCAAACATCTTAGAGGAAAATACTTTTTTTGGGCTGCACTACTCAAACCTATTATCAACATACAAATATTAAATATACAAAGACATAAATGTTATATGATCCTATACAAATGTGACTGTATTTCATAGGAAGTGTTTGGTCTGGATGTATGATTTTTATACATGCAAGACAATCAAAGTGAGGGAACTGTAGCATTGCTGATCAGAAACAATTCCACAACTGTGAATCAGTGTTTTAACACTGTTAAATGTTTGAACAGGGCCACATAGCCAAAGGTCTTTCTGACTCTGAAAGTATCTTTTTATGCATGACTATAAAGTATAAGTAATGCACACCTACATAGATATAATGTTTTGAGGATCCTATATCCTAATTCTATTGATGGTATCACTATCCTTTCAGTCACTCAGATTCACAATCTTAAGAGTCATCCTTAAGTCGTCATTCTTCTTTACCTCACATATCTAATCATTTGTGAGATATTTTTCTTCCTGCAGCTTATCACATTTCATGTCTGTTTCCTTCTCTCCACTCAAACAGCTACCACACTAATACAGGCTTTCATCACTTATCACCTGCACTATTACAATAACCTCTTAATTAGCTTTCTTGCCTTGCCTTTCCCTTTCCAATCTATCCTCTATGCAACTACCAAAGTCATATTCGTAAAGCACAGATCAGACCATGTAACTCCCTTCCTTAAAAAACTCCAATGGCTCCCTATTGCTTCTGGGAGCTTCAAAGAGTTTCAAATATGAAATTCTTCTTTTTGGCATTTAAAGCATTCTCTAACCTTTCCAATCTTATCACATGCGACTCCCTTTCTTGGAGTTTTTGGTCTGACCAAACTGGCCTTGTTGCTGATCCTCACACATGACATTCCTTTTCCTATCTCCGTTCCTGGAATGTATTCCATCTTCACTTCTGCCTCTTCAAATTACAAGTCTCCTTCAAAGCTTAGTGCTTGGAGCATAGCTGGTATTTAATAAATGCTCATTGATTGATTGATTCATAGATTTATATCATGGGTCTACTCCATTTATTATCTGACACTCAATAGGTCACTTAACTTTTCCATACCTCATTTACCATCTTAATAAAATGGAATGAAATAATTAAATGTCTATTATTTTTCCCTCAGGTATTTTCAGTGGTTTTTGTTTGTTTTTAAAAGAATGATAATTCTTTAATATAGAAATTCTTCCATCTGTTGAGAAGCACCAGTATAATGGATAGAGAGCTGGTTTGAAGCCAGGAAATCAGAAGTCCTAAAGATACTGTCTGTTTGAGCCTGGGCAAATTACAGCCTCTCAGTGCTCTAGGTAACTCTCTAAGGCCATGAGTTACAGAGAAAGTACCAACGTGCATTGGTAGAAAGAATTTTATCTTCCAGGCATTCTTTGAGTCAGTGAAATCATAAGTCCAGCCCCTATTCTCTTACTGTTAACACTACTTTGACTTTCTCTCTATGTGTAATTTGAAATGGGGAGTAAGGTAGCTATCCAGATAATTCACATGTAAACCACAATGCTTTTGATCTAATTGTATAGCTATGAGGCAATTTTTGGTAGCTAAATTATTTAACATTATCTCAAATCTCTACTTAATTCTACATATCAATATATATTTTAAAAAGCACAAATGGGAACTAGATTGTAATGAAGGAGGGAATCTCATATTGAAAAGACAACTCAAAGTAAAATTCTTTTACTCTCTTTTTCACTAAATACTTTAACATTCTCAAACAACTTAATCTACTATCCTTACAAATCATTTCTAAATGTATCCCTGAAAATTCCTGAGTCTAAATTTTACATGTTGAATAAATCATAAAGAAATTGAGAAATTAATATAGCAAAGGCACAGTTTGTTCTGCTCCATTCTCCATTTTCTGTTTCCTCTGATGCCTTTTCATCTTTTACCCTTGAACTTATTGTTGATTTCAAAAGTGAAACATTCTCCCTCTGTGATTACCACCTTTAACTATATGTACACACATGTGTGTGCATATACTTAATTATATTGATATTATTTCTAATTTAAAATTCTGTGCTTAGACTGGCCAACTGCTTATAATCTTACTAAATGAAATAATAACTAAGGTTGGCAAAATTTATCTACTAAATTATTTGTCCTTCTGATAAAACTCACATTATATGGGAACATAAGCTTCTTGAAATCAAGGACTATATTGTTTTGGATGTTTCTGGCTAGCACCATGCTTCTTAACATAGTAAGCATTTAATAAATATTTGAAGGCGTTTGGATATACACAACATTATTTCACTGTCAACCTTGAAGTATCTTCTTTTTTACTTATGCATAGTGAAAATTTAATCTTAGATTAGCAGTTTTCTTATCCTCCTATGTTTGGGAACCAAGGTCTGGGCCAAGATTTGCTCAGAGAATATTAATTTCAATACCAGCACAAACCAAACAAGTAAAGCAAATTTGCGGCAGAAAAAAAATCATATGATTCATTCAAACACAAATATAGGGGGCCTATGGGTAATACAATGTTTTATGTCATCAGTGCTACTGCTCTATTACATGACCATGGATACTTGAAAGTAGTTCAGCTTGCCTTTTACTATCAGTTTGGTAAGAGCTAAGAGATATGAGTTCATTTATTGCCTTTGTCATTTACTTATTGTGCTCTCTAAGTCAATTCATTTGATGTCTTTGTGCTTTCCCCCCTCCATATGTAAAAAGGAAAAAATGATCATTGTAATCATTATTCAAGGATATTATAAAAAGAAAGAAAAGGAAAATTTCTAAAGCAATTTATGTATCTAGAATAAAAAATAATGCTTTTGTGTACAAATGTTTCTGCACTATACATATATGTGAATGTACACATTCCCATATTTTAACCAATTTTGACACTCCATTGAATTGTATCTTGTGTTTATTGCCCAGTACTAGAACATGTTATATATCTCTTCTAAAAGACATAGCCACTAATCTTTAAATGAATAGGGTGTCCAGCTGGTTCCATCTTCTTCTTTTTTTTTTTTAATACATTGAGTTAATATCAGTTTTTTAAAAGCAACATCACTTTGAAATAGTACCTTGCTTTTGGGTGGTGGGCTATTTGTGCTCTTCTCTGTATGAATGCTGGTTGGAGATACAGCAGCACCAAGATTGCCTTGGGGTATACCTGGTAACTTTCCTCCTGGAGATACCTGCATTGCAGCTAGCTGGGCAGCATATAACTGCTACATAAGGAGAAAGAAAAAAATGAAATATCAGTAAATAAATGAATGCAGCTTTCAAAAACTTCTACTTCAAATACAGTATTCTTCTGATGAGTATTTTTTATTTAGCACATTGGAATATTTCAAGAGAACCTGTCACCTCAACTTTTATGGCATTTCTCTGGGAAGAAATGACAGATATCACATAAGCTGTTCTAGCTTTTGTGTCTCTAAGGGGCTCTGGGCAAATAATAGCAATATATATTTACTCTTAGGCAGTGTCTATTCCTAATTCAAGCCTTGATTCATCACCTATTTCCTGGACCATTCTTAATAACCTTCTAAGTGGTCTCACTTGGATTTTTTCACTACTCCAAAACCATACTCTGCATAACTGCCAAAGTGATCTTTCAAAAAAGTAGGCATGACCTCAACAAATCTCTCTTGGATAAAGTCCAGTAGCATTCTATTACCTTTAAATATATGTCATTTAAAGTTCTTTAAAACTTGGCCTCTTCCTATCTTTCCAGTATTTTTACACATTAATTCCCCTCTAAGTACTGTGTAATGCGGCCATATCGGCCTACTTCCCATTCCTCACACGATATTCAATCTCCCATCTGCATTCCTTTGCCCTCCCTCACTTTCTTAAATGGAGACATTCAACAAATAATAAATCAAGCCCTGATTTACAGCATTCACTGATTTCTGAGGTATAAATGCTCACACTGAAAATTTATTAATTAGCTCTCATGAGTCGGTATAGTTTGGCTCCAGCATTCCCCCGAGTATTTATCTCTTTATGTATGTGTATTGGCTCTTTCTTAAGAATGTAAGTCCATTGAGGGCACTGCTTTTGCTTTTTTTCCTTGTATTTTTAATGCTTAGCACAGTGCCTGGCACATAGTACATGCTTATTGAATGATTAATTGATCATGTTATTTGATCTCTTCCCATGCAGCAGCTGTATTCCTGTTCTGTTGTTCATATTAGCTTATATTCTGCAATAGCTCTTAAGATTGCTGAAATGAATACTTGTATACTGAGGGAGGTGGTCAAAGAGTGCCTCGTTCTTAGAGTATGCACAATATTCTCTGCCTGCTGCCAATCAACATTTAGTCTTGGTGAACCTACTTCTAGAAATGTACTCTACAATCCAGCCAAACTGGCCTTCTCTCAGTTTGTTAAACAAAGCACTATTTCCTGTCTTTCATTTCTAAAATGTAAGCTCTCCTTACCTTTGTCATTAGAACAAAAGCTGATTGTAAGTAGGAATTTTTCTCATTACTTGCATCCTCAGTGCCTAGCAAAGTTCCTGACTCATAGTAGGTGCTTAATAAATACTTTTTGATTGATTGATGAAGAGATCCTCTACCTCCCATATTCAGAGCACAAGCAGGTATCCTTTCTTTTTTTCATTTCTTGTCAACTTGCTATGTGGTGACAAAAAAATATCTTTTTAATTGGTTGCTAAGCTGGAATTGACCATGTATACAAAAGGCTCCAACAGCTAAAGTCTCTTTCCTGTTGGCTTTTGAGTGAGGTTGAAGAAATGCTGTGGGCCTCAGAAGTTTCATTAGCATAGAAGTTGAAAAGGAACTATTTACCTTTTACTGTCAGCTTGGTCCTAAGAGACAAGAGTTCCTTTATTGTCTTTGTCATTTACTTATTATGATCTCTCAGTCAATTCATTTAATCTCTCTGTGATTTTTCCTCTTCACACAGAAAATGGAAAAGGCAATCATTCTAGTTACTGTTTAAGGATATTTTAAGCATAACTGAAAAAGAAAATCTCTAAAGTAATTTATGTATCTACAATCCAAAGTAGTGCTTATGTGCACAAATATTTCTGTGTGTGTGTGTGTGTGTGTGTGTATGCACGCATATGTGCTCTTGTCTATGTTGGGGCTCTACACCATTTCTTCTTCCTTCTTTGAAAGCCACAAGGAAAGAGAGAGTTCATTTATTTGAACCTTTTGGATATGTGGTCGGTTCTGGCTATATAATCAATTAAAATCACCATTCAGTATGCCAAGAAGAAACAGAGGATACTTGTGTCAGAACCAAAGAGAGAATGAGCATGCCTCCATCATATATTTCTGAAAGTGGCTCACCAAATCTCCATGTGGATTGGCAGCAGCCCAACAATATTGAGCATACTCTAAGGACTGGGCACTCATTGGCTAGTTCCCTCATTATTCCTATAACATTTTTTATGAGCTATAGCTTCCTATAAATTAAAAAATATACATATACATGTAATAGAAGAAACATGTATTAAGGAACATTACTCTGGCTTCCTACCCTGATAAAAACAACTGCATAATTGCCAAAATTTCACTTCAATTTATGCTGTGTGAACACAGACCAGGAAGAAGTCTTCTTGAAGAGGTAATGTTTCATGGATGATATGGCTCAAATACATACTCTTCAATCTATGCTGTCCATCAAAGATAAAACTATATCAATTTTGTTTAACAACAAATTTAATACTATTTAATAATCAATTAGATATGGTCAATAATTTAATATTACTATTTATTTTCAATGAAGTTTTCACCTTTGCCAAAATAACCTCATGTAAAACAAAGTTTCATGTGTGTTAAGATATTGTTAGACATTGAAGGCTTGTTTTACCTTTATAAAGCACTGTGACAAAGGAAAATTAAAAACCCAGGATATTCAAATAGAGGCAGGCAGGTATATATTCCATGATATATAGAATATAAGATTTCCTATATCCAGGTATCTAAATACCTAGATATTCAAGTTGTTGGAATTTTTCCCCCCTGTGCAAGCTATGACTTCTCCAGACCTTCTAAAATGGGAGAATAGTGAAGAAAGTCTTGGGAACAACTCTCTGGGATAGCTATACTATCTCTTTGAAGAACGATAACCCCGCACTGCCCCAAAAAAGCCTGTTCCAGGTAAATCATATGTTAAGATAGGAAGGGACCAGTTCAAAGAAAAGACAGAAATACAAATACATGTGCATGGCTGAACAAGTTTTCAAATAGGAATATACATAGAAATAAATAAAAATAAATAAACAAAAATTTTATTCTGGAGTACAAGGGAGAAAGTGCTGTTGCTGAAAAGCATTTCATGACCATCAATCACTACGTAACTTGATCTCCTAGTTATAAAAAGATACCAGATTTAGAGTAAGAAGGGATCTAAGAGCTCATCTAGTAAAATATGTTTTACAAATGAGGAAACTGAGATACAGAGGTTAAGTGCTTTCCCCAAGGTTGTACAGGTGGTAAATAGTAAAGCTGGGTCTCAGAGCCAAGTCCTGACTGCCAATTCAAAGTTCTTTACACTACCAGAGGTGGGAAACCTGCGGCCTTGAGACTACATGTGGCCATCTATATCCTTAAGTGTGGCCTTTTGACTGAATACAAATACATCCAATTAAATAAAATTTGGATACAGTCAAAAGACTGCACTTAAGGATCTAGAAGGCCACATGTGGCTTCAAGGCTGCAGGTTCCCTCCCCCTGCACTAGATCTTCCTGCTTCAAATAGTATTATCGTTACTATAACAACAACAACAACAACAACAACAACAACAACAACAACAACAATCCTTCATTAGAGTGATTCTACATCAAGACTCATCATGGCATGAAAATAACCCTGAGTTCCAGAAAGCTACCTTGGTGTAGTACAACCCTTACCTATCCTACCAAACTAAACAGGCTTTGAACACAAGATTAGTAACATGGTAGGCTGTTTGTAGGCTATTCAAGACCTACCTCTATAAATTTGGAGAAACTCATTGTCAGAAAGTTGGGTATGAGATGATCATTTTTTTTTCTGGTTAAAGTAGAAACAAATAGCAATGTGGTATGAGTAAAGGGATAACAATTAGACACCCTGAGAACTTCTCTGTGTGTACGAAATGTGAAAGATAGACCTAGAGAGGGGCCTCCAACACAACAGGTTGTACTTCTTCTGTTGAAGATCTATGGAAGAACATGGACAAGAATACTACAGTATGGATGGGTGGTGACATCCACCCATGGTGTTCTCATTGATGAGGTCAAGGATTAACAAGTATCAAAGTACTGAATCAACTCAACAAAGACTTTTGATGACATAGAATGGTTGAGACCTATGTCAGTAGAGAAAATAAATGAATCAATGAAATAAGGGATCTTTAAAATATTGAATGTTAATAAGAGTAGTAGTAATACATGTGCATATACTCCTTTATATATATAAAGTAACTTAAATGCATTAGGTGTGATTATCATAATATAATTTAAGAGAAATAGACAACATATTATTATTTTATAAATGAGGAAATAGCAACCAAGAAACATTAAGTGATTTGCTCAAGATAACACCTGAAGTTAGTGGAAGATTGGTGGCATGATAGAAGAGTCCTGGATTTAGAGTCAGGAAGAAGTGAGTTTGAATCCTGACTTAGACACTTGCTAATATGTGACCCTGGAAAAGCCATTTAACCTTGCTAAGCTTCAGCATCCTCAACTGTAAAATGGATAGATAACATATATGGAGTAAATTGTAAATCTTAAAGCACTACATAAATGATAGTCATTATTATTAATCATCATCATCATCATAATTATTATTATTAGTTTTATGTGGCAGAACTGAAATTCAAACACAGGTCTTTTGGCTTCCAATGTGATATTCTTTCTAACATAGCCCTAATGGAAAATAGATAACAGTTATTATCGTATGATTACAGGATTTAAAATTGGAAGGAACCTTAGAGATCATTTAGTCCTGTAGTGTATTAGTCTTTGTTAGATCAAGCCAATTTAAAAGAAGACACCTTACTGATAATGAAGTATATGAGAAAGGTGAAGGGCATAGCAATAATGATCTATTGAAACGGAATTCACAAAACCTAAAGTTAAACCAATTCCTCAGTATGGTTAGTAAAAACATTTTCTTATGAAAATTACAGAGAAAGATAGTTTTTAAGTTTTAGTCCCCAATTTGTAGACAGAGAGCTATGAAAATTTAACAAAAATATGATGTGTGAA